ATTGTAAAACTAACAGGAAACCTCTTGTACATTCAAAAGCAGTTCATGGGCCAGGAACAAAGGACCCTCCATTTGACTTAGGGCCACATCATCTCAGCTGCTTTTTTTTTTTCTTTTCCTTTTTCTTGGGGGTGGGAAGGGGCAGAGGGAGAGAGAGAGTCTCAAGCAGACCACATGCTGAGCACAGAGCCCAACACAGGACTCGATCTCACAACCCTGAGATCACGACCTGAGCCGAAACCAAGAGTCAGACGCTCAACTGACTATGCCACCCAGGCGCCCCTTGGGAGAGAGAGAATCTTAAGCAGATTCCACACTCAGCGAGTAGCCTGACTCGGGGCTCAATCTCACAACCCTGAGATCGTGACCTGAGCTGAAATCAAGAGTTGGACACTTAACCGACTGAGCCACTCAGGCGCCCCATCAGCTTCTTTTATGTCTGCCTCATTCTTTCTCTTTCTCTCAGTCTACCTACTCTGCTTATTTATCTTGCACATGGTTAAAATATGCCCAATCCCTTTTTTTTTTAAAGATTTTATTTATTTGACAGAGAGAGACAAAGCGAGCGAGGGAACACAAGGAACACAAGTGTGGGAGAGGGAGAAGCAGGCTTCCCGCTGAGCAGGGAGCCCAATGCGGGGCTTGATCCAGGACCCCGGGATCATGACCTGAGCCAAAGGCAGACGCTTAATGACTGAGCCACCCAGGCGCCCCCCCAATCCCTTTCTTTTTTTTTTTTATTAAAGATTTTATTTATTTATTCATGAGAGACGGGGGGGGGAGAGAGAGAGAGAGAGAGAGAAGCAGGGGAGAAGCAGGCTCCCAAGGAGCAGGGAGCCCGATGCGGGACTCGATCCCAGGACCCTGGGATCATGACCTGAGCTGAAGGCAGACGCTTAACCATCTGAGCCACCCAGGCGCCTCCCCCCCCAATCCCTTTCTTGACATCAAAATCTTTTACTTCCAGCATCTGTTATTGACTAACTACATCCTCTCATTTTTTCAGTTTAAATGCTTAAGAGAAAGAGAGGCTCTACTATTTAGTAGCTGGTCAGGCAGTTCACTGGCTGGTTAAGACTAAGTATCCACCCCAGTCCAACTAGCCGTCACTCCTAAACAAGAACTCCCCCCCCCCCGCCCCCACCAGAGGTGTCTCCCTGCATTGGGAGTTCTGGGGAGAGCTATCTAAACCAGAAGAAGAAAGAGACTGACGTGTCCCATGCTCTATAGAACCATTAGACTTCCAGGGACCATTTGGTGTGTTCCATACACATTTGGGAAACTTCTGGTTTCTCTGCTTCTAAGAAGGATTTCCCCAGAGCTTTTATCCTGAAAGGAGTTGGTCCTCAATCGAATGCTGACTCCACCACTTTTTTTTTAAAAGATTTTATTTATTTATTTAACAGAGAGAGGCACAGCGAGAGAGGAAATACAAGCAGGGGGAGTGGGAGAGGGAGAAGCAGACTTCCCCCGAACAGGGAGCCTGATGCGGGGCTCGATCCCAGGACCCTGGGATCATGACCTGAGCCGAAGGCAGACGCTTAAGGACCGAGCCACCCAGGCGCCCCGACTCCACCACTTCTGAAAGTGAGCTTCAGTTTGTCACCTGTAGAATAAGGATAATAGCACCCATCTGTCGCCTGGACATAAATGAGATAATGCAGATGCTATTCTCTGCTTGGCACAAAGCAAGAACTTAGTAAATGGGATTTCTTTAATTACTTTTGATATTTTATGAATATTCAATAACAGAAAATTATTTGCAGTGCATTTTTACTTATTTTTTAATTACACAAGTGATATATGAATGTACCTGAATATTTAAAAGCAATTCCTAGGCATTATATTAATTCAGTGTAAATATATTCATGGTAAATATTTTAGGGTGTTTTTAATAAATAAAGTCTTTTTTAAAAACAAAGAACCACAATACCTAGTATATTAAAAATAATTCCTTAATATCACCAGTACTAAATCTATATTCGATTTTCCTTGATAGTCTCAAAAATAACTTTTTATGGTTGTTTTTAATCAAAATCCAAAATTGCACTTAATATGTATTACACATCCCAGTAGGTCTATAACCATTCTCCTTCCTTTTTAAAACAAATTTTTTTCTCCTTTCCTATGCCATGTATTTGTTGGGGAAAAAATGGAGTCATTCCTGTAGAATTTTCCAATTTGGGATTTGACTGTATCTTCATCATTTAGCAGATTCTTTTATCCCTACGTTTTCTGAAAACTGCTACATAGATATAGAGGCTTATTTAGATTCAAATTGTTTTTCTGGCAAAACTAGAAAACTGTAATGTTTTTATACTATCTTTTATGTTTAAAAGTTGTGATTTTGAAATAGCAGCTCAACAGTTCCCATGGCATTTTGCACTTAGCAGTACAAGATTCCCAAGAGAAAAGGAGGTAAGCCATTCACTCTGGTTTCTGCCTCATGCAGAAATGAGTCACTCCTGCAGGAGTGAATCACCTTCACTTGGAGAATTAATGGTACTTATGACTGCTTTCTGCCAGAAAACGCAGATGGAAGTCATAATTACTACTTTATCTGTAATTGATTTATCAGAGATAGCTTTAGTCATATACATCTTTGGCTGAAGATGTTCACGTACCTTTAATTAAAGATATAAATTCCTTGCCTACATTCTAAACTAGGAACAAAAATGTTTGAGATGACTAGTGAGTAGAGAAAGTGCCAGAAGAAAATAAAACATCCTTTGAAATTTTTATGTTTTTCTGTAATGGTTTAAAATGGATCAATATAATCTATGGATGGAAAAAGCAAACTGAGGTACACTGAAGCAGGACTATAGTATTGTTCTGGAGTGCTGGGGATGCCCATTAAATAAGAGCCCTCTCTTCTCTACCTGTGTTAGGAACAGAGAGCTAGATAAAGAAATCGAGAACAATAAAAATAATTGCTTCTATGCCTGATAAAGCTATTTGGAGAAGTGACTTAGGTCCACAGCAATAATGAACTTGCAAACACCTGATCTCCTACATTACATGTGCCATTCCCCTAGTCAGGGACAACCATAGGCCTCTCTGAGCCCAGTGTACGTGCCAGGTTCTTTTTCTCAAACTCACCTCTTAATAACTCACTCCCCTTTCCCTGGAGGGAGGCAGAAAGTGAGTGAGGAATCAGGGTACAGCAAAGAGTGGTAACTCAATGGAAGTTTAATCAACATGGAAGCAAGTGGAAACAAGTGGAAACAAGTGTTCCCCCATCACTGAAGTCCATCATATAAAAGAGTATCAGTGGTAGAACCAGTTTTAACACAGCATTTTCAGCAATGAACACCCTCACATTTAGTTGGTCCCAACACACATCAACTTCCCCACTATCGCAGCTCATGGTCGACTGAACAAATATTTGTGGAGTGCGCGCAGATCACAGTGCTGGCAGATGCCAAGATGGAAGACACTCTCTGCCCACCAGAGGCTCATCCTCTAGTGGGTTCTCAGACAAGTGCACACAAAACTGGTGTGCACCCCACTGTGCTAGGTGTTGTACGGGGAGTTGTGGCAGACGTTGAGATGCTCTGCTCAGACCTCCCTTGAAGAAAAGATTCACTATCCAGCTGCAGGGACTGTGGTGAGCTGACAGCCTCCAGTTGTTGGTTCCTTCAGAGTTCACTTCCGCTTTCAAGCTATGGTCAATGCTCTTCTTGGACAGTTCCTCAGTTCCTGCCCAGTGACTAAACCAGATAGTAACTAAGGTCACACTCTTTTTGGGTGGCCCCAGCCCATGACTAGCAAAGTGGTGATACAAGGGCCTGGCCATTTCCATCCAAGACAGGACTCCTCCGCTGGGCAATCTCTGTTACCAAGCTCCCCATTAGGCTGGCATAGGGTGACCAGCTGTCCTGGTTTGCTGGCACTGAGAGATTTCCCAGGATGTAGGACTTTCAGTGCTAAAATTGGGCAATTTCCAGACAAATTAGGATGGCTGGTCACTTTCACTAGTGTAGAGCTTGTCAGGTCTGCCTCAGGGTCTGACAGCTCCCTTCCATCCAATCTTGCATCCTTCCCTTTGCCTTTCACAGGTATTACTCCCCAATAAACTCTTTGTCCTCCTGGTTTCATCTCACTGTCTGCTTCCCAGAGCATCCAAGACAGGGGCCCATATAGCACAGAACCCAGGAGGGACCTGAATACTGCAAGAGATGAGACTGAAAGAGAGAAGGAGGGCAGGGGAAGATTAATTTGACAATTATGGGGATGCTCCTGGTATAACTTTTTCAGTGGGCTATTTGTCCTGCACCCTTTGAAAAAGCGAAGAGGCATACGTAAATACTCAGACTTCAGGTTCCCTAAAAGGCATTTGAATACTCAAAACGAAGGCTTTGCCAAAACAAACAAATAAACAAACCCAACCTTCTTGTCCCTGTGTCCTTCTTTAGTTTTTTTAGAAGATTTATTTATTTTAGAGAGAGAGAGAGAGAGAAAAAGAGTGCAAGTGGGGGGAGGGGCAGAGGGAGAGGGAGAGAGAATCTCAAGCAGACACTGCCCGTGCTGAGTGTGGAAACTGACTCGGGGCTCGATCCCAAGACCCTGAGATCATGACCTGAGTCGAAACCAAGGGGCAAACGCTTAACCCACTGAGCCACCCAGGTGCCCCCCCGCCGTGTCCTTCTTTAAACATGCTTGTTACTAATTTCTATGATTTAAGAAGAAAAATGAAAGGAGCTTCAGCTTTTCTGCAAAGTATTCTTAAACTCAGGAGAGATTGTGGGTGAAGAAACGGGAACACATCCTTCAGAGCCAGGACTAGGATAAGGAGAGCAAGGCACTCAGGTATAACATGTAGGGAGGCCCCCATTGTCATGGTGGTGGGAGTACAGAGTCCGCACCTGCATGAACCTGAGAGTGAGCACCTCCTTAAATACTGCACCCAGCTGCCTGGCTTGCCTCACCCTAGTCCCAGCCCTGGCATCCATAATAATATTAGGCAACTTACACACTACATTGGCTCTTTCCTGCCCCAGGTACAAAGCCATCGTCCGGCCAATGGATATCCAGGCCTCCCACGCTCTGATGAAGATCTGCCTCAAAGCTGCGTTGATCTGGATTATCTCCATGCTTTTGGCCATCCCGGAGGCTGTGTTTTCTGATCTACATCCCTTCCATGAGGAAAGCACCAACCAGACCTTCATTAGCTGTGCCCCATACCCACACTCTAATGAGCTGCACCCCAAAATTCACTCCATGGCTTCCTTCCTGGTCTTCTACGTCATCCCACTGTCGATTATCTCTGTCTACTACTACTTCATTGCTAGAAATCTGATCCAGAGTGCTTACAATCTGCCTGTGGAAGGGAATATACATGTCAAGAAGCAGGTGGGTGCCTAGGATTGATTCATTTCCTCTTTAGGGCTTGGATCTCTTTTGCACGCCACTGGCAAGTACATTGTTTAGGTGGTCACGTCACCTGATTCTGCAATTAGAGGAGGTGGGTGATGGTAAATGGAAACTCCTAACCACAGAAGCCCAGGAATTCAGGTGTTCTTTATAATCTTGTTCTCTTACTAAAGACCTAAGCTAGGGAGGTGTTGAGAATCTGGAAGATTTGAAGGATGGGTTTCTTTTTGAGAACTATCTGAAAAAGTATTGTTAACAAAATAAAATATTGAGACTCATAGGGATGTGACGTCTTTAAACTCCAGTCACACTGTTTGGATAGGAAAAGAGTTACCACATGGGCACAAAGCAGAGGGAGCAGGAAAATAAGGCCGGTTGAAGAAACAGAAGTAGTTTGATTAAGACAGGCTCACACTGATTTGGGTTCAAATCCAAACTTGATGACTAACTCACTCTCTCTGAGCCTCAGTTCTGTTACCCATGATATAGGGTGAGAACCCCACTATTTTAAGGCTGTGTGATGATTAAAAGAGCACATGTGTGACCCAGAATGCCCAGAATGCAGAATGCCCTCCGTATGTGTTAGACTCCCTCCACCATCCCCCATAACGCTGCATAATTTCAAACTTCAGGTATGAATAGCAGAAACCAGGGGCTCCAGCTTTCTCCTCTTTGTCAGTGCTTGCTTTCTAGTCCAAATGTAGATCATGTGGGATTTATGATGGAAAAAGCAGAAAGACTCCCCATCCGTTTAAATGTACAGCTGACTCAGTTGGTGGCTTCACCCTTTAAAAGTTCCTTTTTTTTTTTTTTCCTCAATTACGAGGAGAGCGTAGCAGTTCTCAGTGAAACGGTCTCCATATTTGAAAGACCTCTCAGTAGTGAACATCCGTTGTACCTCAGATTCTTTAATAAGAAAGATGGTTCCCCTTTGCAGAAGTAGCAGAGGGTGTTGGGAGCAAAAGGAGATGTTCAGCCCACTTTGTCTAAGGACCTTCCTGTATAGTATAGCCCAGAAATAACTTGAGATTAAAAAATAATAATAATAGGAAGTTATTTTGGTTTGGCCAATGAGAAAGAACAAAGCTGGCTGCTTTTTTTGAGCATCAGAGGAAATAAGAAATGATTAACTGTGGAGCCAAGGAAGATGTGACGTCATAGGGCTGATAAACCGCACCAGTGTTCTCCTGAGGAAAAAGAGGTCACTTACTAAAATTTCATTGTGCAAGCCATTCAAGCATGTAATCAACTTTGTTTAAAGGTCTGTTCTCAGTGGCATGTTCTAACTATATTCTACTTCATGGATTTCTGCTTCCTGGCTTTTCCATTTCTGTGTTTCTGACTTTCCCCCCTTTTTTCCATCTGTTTCTGTTGCTTTCCTCTCGTTTTATCGGATTTTCTCTCGTCTTTTTTTCTCCCGTTGAACTCTTTTTCTGTGGCTTTGTGAGCTCATCTATTTCCCCAATTCTTTTTCCTTGTTTTTTTTTCTCTGTCCGAATCTTTGTCTCTCTGCATTCATCCCACACCGTCCCTTGGTCCCTCTCTCTCCGCGTGTGTGACTCTCTCGTTAGATTGAATCCCGGAAGCGCCTTGCCAAGACAGTGCTGGTGTTCGTGGGCCTCTTTGCCTTCTGCTGGCTCCCCAACCACATCATCTACCTGTACCGCTCCTACCACTACTCTGAGGTGGACACCTCCATGCTCCACTTCATCACCAGCATCTGCGCCCGCCTCCTGGCCTTCACCAACTCCTGCGTGAACCCTTTCGCCCTCTACCTGCTGAGCAAGAGTTTCAGGAAACAATTCAACACCCAGCTCCTCTGTTGTCGGCCTGGCCTGATGACCCGCTCTCATAGCACCGGCAGAAGTACCACCTGCATGACCTCCTTCAAGAGCACCAACCCCTCTGCGGCCACCTTTAGCCTCATCAATGGAAACATCTGTCATGAAGGGTACGTCTAGGCTGATCCTTGACCCTGTCGCCCCAGGGGTCCCCGGTTTTGCTTTATGGCTAAAGAACCCTCACATCTGTTGTTGTCTCTATACCCTCCAAAGACCCTTTGGAAGGCTATGAGTTTGTAGGCAGGTTGCAGAGAAGCCCAAATGGATTGCTGTGATGTTTGAAAGGCGCATCAAGGCTTACATTTTTCCATTTCAACTTCTGAATGCTTCTTCTGATGTAGAGCCAACTCTCCCCTTTTTAGAAAAGGGAATAAGAAATTATTCTTTTAAGCATCAAGCCCTGATATACGGGTATGGCCAATTAAGTCACAGAAACTATATGAGCCACCAGATTTATATAGCAGAAAAATTATACATTAAACGTCCACTTTGTGAAAGACTTCACCTTGTCATTTCTTGAAGCAGAAACTAGCGCTTTAAAAATATGATTTGAATAATTTTTCAGGAATATTTATAATCACAAACCAAGGAACTGTTTTTTACACTCCTAACATGAAAGCCAACTCTATGAAAAAGTCCCATGTATGAGGGACCATTCCCAAACTGATAACACTGGAAGCCAGTTTAAAACAAATCCCTGAGTGTTGATTGTTTCTAAAAGATGTTACTGGGGACATAGGAGAAACACTCAACACATCATTTTAAGGCAAAAATACAACCAAACACATAGATACATATACAAAGATCCGTGTGAGGCTGTGGATTGATATCTCACACTCTGAATTCTAACTCAGTGGAGATCCTTTCTGCTGTTTCCCCATTTCAATCATCCATGGCATAGTTAGTTCTACCATAGAAGAGAAATCCTTGTGGGAAAAAAATTGATCATACTCTCAGTTCATTATTTATAAGTACATAAAGTATAGTATTTATTTTTGGTATACAGATTTTCAGCCAAATGTATCTACTTAGATTTGGCTGTCCTTGTCTGCTACATTGAAGCAGTAATTTCTTATGGAAAAAAAAAGGGGGGGAATCACATCTGAGCGGAAACAGAAACATGTTTACATTTAACACATTTAACATATGCTTACCTAAAGTCTGTGGGAGGAAATGAATAAAATTTCAGTAATATATATTTCCGTTTGAATATGTCTAAGTCATTTACAGGGGGCTTAGCTTTCAGAACGGATTGTAAAAGAGCTACAGATACATTAAGTTTCTAGTTAAGAAGAGTATTTATGCAACAGCCATGTGTAGAAAAATACAGGACTGAAATCTGGTTATTTTTCTGAGTAAAGAGATTTGACAATCTTACTTTGGAAACCCTGAACCAAGTTTTTCTTGACTCCAGGGTAGGCCGATTCTGACGGACTGCAAACACGTTAACCCACTTTCAGATAAACCCAGATTCTGCAAATGTGCCCTAAGGTGTAGCCCTCACATCCAAAGACGATTTTAGTTCTGGTTTTCTCTGGCCAAGTGAGAAGGAACTGTCAGCTCTCTTTTCCACAGGGCCTGTATGAAAACATTTTCATCTCTTGATAAAAGGACGCGCTCGCTGTCTGCAGAGCTTTAGAAGTCAGCACAGAGACAGTTGTAAAGACCTGTGTTTACAGCCGTTTTAGCTGGAGCGAGACTTCTTCACTCCCGTCTGCCGCATGCACTTCTATACTGTACCCACCTGCTTTCCTGGTAGTCACTCCATAATGACACGGGACAGTTTGAGAAGCAAGCCAGGCGGTGTAGCTGAAAGGACCGAGATCTGTAGCTGGATATCCCAACTCTGTCTACCTGTGAGTTTAGCTGTCAATTTCCCTTCTCTCAACTCATTTTTTCATCTCTAGAAGGAGAGGACAGTACTAAGGTCCCTCTATTGCAAAAATCCTTTGAGTCTTGTCATCGTTTCTAGTTCCGTCTCTAAAGCATTCACACAGCCCACCCACTCACAGCTGCCCCACTTCTGCTACGTTTGCAACAACTCCTCTTGGGAGACCCTTCAACCCACCTTCTACAGTCCTGTTCACATTGGTGGAATGGAAGGAGACAGACGCTGGAATAATTTGTATGAGTCGTGTCTCAGTAGCTTGTTATGTTTTGGAATTAAAGCTGAAAGACACATAGGAAAACATATTGCTCGATCTCCTCATTATACAAAGGGTACTTTTCCTGCTCACCTCCAACCTCCATGCACCTGTCATCATGACCTAGAGCCCCACGATTTTACCCTTAGATTTCTTCAAAACTCTTGAGTATGCACTGACTTCGTACCTAGGTAAGGGCTGCAGTGTCTGGCATTCTGGGTACATAGTGTGACTTGCAGATCTCTGACCTACCTGCTTTCAAAGACATTTTGGGAGTAGGACTCATCTTAATGTCTCCTTCGGGTAACATCGTGGCATAGATTGTGTCGGTCTCCTCCCTAGCTTCTGGACAAACAGGAGATTGAAGTCTAGTCTAGCTGTGTGTCATGAGACCAATCTTATCACCTCTTTGGGACTCCTAAATGAAAGGGTTGGAGAAGGCCTCTGCCAGCCAGTGACCCAGGACTGGTAAAACTGTTCTGTGAATCAGCTGATGGATGGACCCAAACCTTCTTATTGGGATGGACTTTGCCGGGCCCTTCTCTAGGGAAGTGAACTTCTTATTCCACCTCAAGAACCCAGAATTACGGTGAAAGACACCCCAGCCCCCACGTGATATCACCTCCCTGTTAGGGCAGGGTGTGGCAGGGGCTGGAGCTAAGACATTTCACACCTGGCTTCCAAAGATAATCAGGTTTAGCGCTTATGTCTTTGGCGAGGGAAAAAAATCAATTTTTGCCGTGGAAAACCATCTGTGTTTATTCAATTGACAGACACTACCTTTCAATCTATCTTAAATTGAGCCTCCCTGAGGCAGGCAGCTCAACAGTGATAGATGAAGCAATAAAGCAAGGCAGTCTTCCCACCAACGGCTGCTGCTGGCAGGGAAGGCACAGCTGCTGTGAGGAGCCATATTCCCCAGCAAGGTGGTCCTCCCTACCTGGCGCAGATGAGGCCCCTCCCTGTTGGTGATCTGATGATTCCCCATAAATGTGGATGGCTAAACCCTGTTCTTCTGGCTGCCCTCACTCCCCCCGCCCCGCACTGAACCTAGCCTTCTGCCCCATTAATGAGCCCTGGATTTCCCTCTTTGCCACACAAACAATTTGGTTTTGGGTTCATCTTGAAGGATAGTGAACCCTTAAATAGAGAAACAGTTTAGAGGCTGCTTCAGATGAACCAAACTCAGCTTGTTATGAAAATGCACACTGGACAGAAATAAATGAACTTGTCCGTAGGACACGGGCACACCGAAGTTATAAAGTCTTGGTTTATGCCAAAAGTAGAGGTGGTTAGTGGTTTCAGAGTCTATTCATGTACCAAATGTCTTCTAGGAATAGAGAGCAGCTTTGGTTTGGGGGCTACAAGTTGAATGACATCCTCAATCTGTGGACTAAAAGGTGGCTAAGTCACTTTCCCAAAAGCCAGACAGAAATGATCGCCCTGGGACGATGACCATACGAGAGCTGGAAGAATAGTAGTCACTTCTGTGGGGGTGAGGTGGGGGGGGTGGCAAACTTTCTTGCCATTTCTGCCCTTCACATCCAGGTCCCAGGGGAGCTGTTGTTAGAGGGTGGCTCCGAACTAACCCTGGGTTGCTGGGAGGACTAGAGCACATTTTGCACATTTGTCTAATGTTCGGCTGAATTTTCATAAAATGGATTAACAACTGAAAACAGAGAAATTATTCACTCTCCTGGGGCCAGGTTTTGTGTCAGCTATTCAGAGAAACAAAGCCCTAACAAGCTCTAGTTTATTCTGTATGTGACAGTCATTCCTCTCGGCCCCCACCTTGACAGTCCCCTCCAGCCCCCCACCTCCAACACAAACACAATAACTTTAATATGAACCCACCTCTTATCCTAACTTTGTCCTTCAAAGACACCCTTTTCTTAGGTACGGGTCAAGCATGACCTCCAGCTGAATATATACAGCGCAGTCAATAAATCGCACACTGGGAACAGACTTTTCTTTTGTGAAACCACATTAGAAATGCACTCAGTGGAATTTACCTAATTTTTTAAAAATTTAAGAGCCCCTGGGTTAAAATATTACATGTCCACGATTAATTCAAAAAATACTTTGCATTTACCTAGTGTTCACGGTCTATAAAGCACTTTTACACTCATTGCCTCATCTAATCCAAGCCTTCCCTGCTGGCCAAAGAGCTGCTTAACAGTCTTTACTATGGAAATTTGTAAATGACATTTACTAGTGACCATCTATTAAAAGACCCACGGAACTATGAGGCTGAAGCATGCAACTACAGATGTTGAACCATATTTGACCTCCAAAAGGGTGATTTCATATGGTCCACCACAATCTGATCTCATTTACAGTCACGGCCATTCTGTGATATTGAAGAACAGTGCTGATGATCATCCCTTTCCCAGTTTACAGGATAGCCTGTGCCTGCAAAGTTGAGTCTGTTTAACTTGGCCTATGGCAGGGAACCAAGTCATTGTTGGTTTCCCCAGAGAGGCCTGTTAGCCGGAACAGGATTCCATGTCACACTGAAGTGGAAATCTAAGAGAAGAAGGGCAGGATCCTTGGGAGCAAAAACACAAGCCACAGAGCACACTGTATTTGTGTGAAACCGCAATGGAGTTCTGTGGCTCTAGAAGCGCCGGAAAGGGAGGGGCTCGACGTCACCAAGCACCAATGATGTGCCAAATGCAGTGCTGAGCACATTTCTATTCTTCCTCACGAGTACCTTGAAAAGTATTCAGATGATGAAGCTGAGGCTCAGGGAGATCACTTCACCATCCCAAGGTCACACGGCACAGAGGAATGGCAGAGTATTAATGTGGACCTGGATCTCTCTTAAGACCCCGTCCATTCCACTGCTCAGCATGGCTTCCCAAATCCAGCCCATGTGAGAAATTAACTTCCCAGTAACTGATGGTCCCGTCCCTACTCTAGCTTTTGTCCAAAGGCATGAGCTACCGAGGAGGTTGAGGAATAGACACAAAAGGCATGGAAGATGTTTCTAAGCATGTAAGTTAAGGACTCGCTGCAGGCAGAGACTGAAATGTAGCACAGAGTAGGGGGGCAAGGAAGTCCCTTCATTCAGTTGCCCTCAGAGACACAATTCAGTCGCAACTGGAGGCCCTGGGAAGAATT